GCCAGGAGCAGGAACCGAGGAAGCGCCGGGGGTGTACCTGGAGGCTCAGAGTTTCTAAAAGGACCCCACAGCTTGTCTTCCAGGGACAGAGCAGTGAGAGTCGGGCTGCCTGCTGGGTCTTAGTTTGGTCTGGTCATTCTGTGATGATTTCTAGGTAGGAGACCCGTTTGGTGCAGGCAGGCAGGCAAGACTCAAATAATATAAATCAATAATTTATTATTTACAAAATAAAGATGGCTGACAGGGCAGCAGACTTACATAAATCATGGGGCAGGACGTAGGCCACAAGGAGCAGGACACGAGGAGCATAACAGGCATCACAGTGAGACAATGACCAGACAATGAGGGACGCAGACAAACAGACACACACTAACGAGACTAACACAGAACACCTGTGAAACATCACAGGTGCAGACATCAGAGGGGGAGCAGACAAATATACAACACTAGAGGGAGACAGAGACCAGGGAAAGCACAATTCCAACAATTGTCCTGTTTGAGCTCTGACAGGTGGTGTTCCTACATGTTTAAATTAAATCCACAATGAAACTATATTAGCTCGTACTGTTCACACAGAAACAAACGCCGGTTCTGGTCCATGCTGGAAGTTGCACCCATAATTCAAGCAAGGCAACATGGGGACTAGGAATAAGGTGGATAACTCTTCTACTACTTCCGGTGAGAGTTGGACTCCGCCAAGGTTGCCCTTTGTCACAGATTCTGTTCATAACTTTTATGGACAGAATTTCTACGCGCTGCCAAGGTGTTGAGGGAATCTGTTTTGGTGGCCTTGTGATTGCGTCTGCTTTTTGCAGATGATGTAGTCCTGTTGGCTTCATCAGATCGTGATCTACAGCTTTCGCTGGAGCGGTTCGCAGCCAAGTGCGACGCGGCCGGGATGAGGATCAGTTCCTCCAAATCCGAGGCCATGGTCTTGAGCCGAAAAAGGGTAGAGTGTCCTCTCCGGGTCAGGGAGGAGGTCCTGCCCCAAGTGGAGGAGTTCAAATATCTTGGGGTCTTGTTCACGAATTAGGGAAAAATGTAATGTGAGATCGATAGGCGGATAGGTGCAGCATCTGCAGTGAAGCAGGCGCTGTACAGGTCTTTCGTGGTGAAGAGAGAGCTGAGTCAAAAGGCGAAGCTCTCAATTTACCTATCGATCTACGTTCCCATCCTCCTCTATGGTCATGAGCTTTGGGTTGTGGCCGAAAGAACGAGATCTCGGATATAAGTGGCCGAAATGAGTTTTCTCCACAGGGTGTCTGGGATCTCCCTTAAGCCCCCAGTATACCACCGCGTACGTCCATACGTAGAGGTACGCACGTACGTACGCAGAAGTACGAGCGTACCCCCAGGGCATGTCCATGCAAAGCTCAATTTTTACGACCGCATACGCGTGCGCAGTGTCACACAATAAACTGCCCGGCGACGGACTGTTTTGTATGCAACACCAATGTATTAAATTCCCCTTCTTCATCCCTGATCTGGCCTTTTCTTTAGTTTTTTTTTTTTTTTGCCAAGAGGCAAGAGATCTATTCCTCCTCCGTTGATGCAATGACTGAAATGATGAGAAATGAAGGAATTTGTCATGAGCGAATTAAACTCAGGTCCAGCGTGGCTGCGGGAGGGTCTGGAGATTTCCTGGTAGACTGGTCTGATGTGTGGGCTGCTGTTTTTTGTTTTGTTTGTTTTTTTAGATCTTTTTATTAACAACATATAAACACAGAACACCGCTGTGGCTGAGGCTGCCAGTGTTCTTTTTTTTTTTTTGACCTGTCAATCAATCAAGTAGGCGTGTCAGCAAATGACCAATCGGCGACCTCAATTTGTCCCGAAGGTAAACCCCTTGTCTGTGAAGCTGCTCTGCAGCTGCTCGGGGTGTACGCTGGAGTACAAAGTCTGAACCCTCTGCGTACAGTACACACGTACGTATGCGTGAATGGACGTACGCAGCAGTATACTAGGGGCTTTAGAGATAGGGTGAGGAGCTCGATCATCCGGGAGAGACTCAGAGTAGAGCCGCTGCTTCTCCACATCGAGAGGAGCCAGTTGAGGTGGCTCGGGCATCTGTTTAGGATGCCTCCTGGACGCCTCCCTGGTGAGGTGTTCCGGACACGCCCCACCGGGAGGAGGCCCAGAGGAAGACCCAGGACACGTTGGAGGGACTATGTTTCTCGGCTGGCCTGGGAATGCCTCAGGATTCCCCTGGAGGAGCTAGACCAAGTGGCTGGGGAAAGGGAAGTCTGGGCCTCCCTACTTAGGCTGCTACCCTCGCGACCCAACCCCGGATAAGCGGAAGAAAATGGATAGATGGATTCTTCTACTTTTCAAAGTTAATTCAGAAATGAACACCTACATTCATATTTCAGAAAGAAAAGTTAAATTAGAAGTAAAACAAACCTCTGTCACAAACACAGGCTGTGAAGTGTAATATCTGACTCCTGGAACAGGACATCATCGGTGGATTTTATTTATTGTACAAACATTTCAAGCTTTTACTTCAACAACTAATGTGTCATGGTTAGTAGGGGTGGAACCCAGGAATGCAGACTGATACAAAGAGCTCAAGTAAAAGAAAAACTTTATTTAAACAAAAGGCAGACGTGGCAGCAACACTGTTCAAAAACTACTCGGACACAGAGGACTTGACAGAAGCATACACAATGACAGCCTGGATGGAAATGAAGACTGAGGGGAATACAAGAACAGTGGCTGATGACAAAACTGAAGACATCTGTGCAAAATGACAACAGAGAACAGGTGAGAGTGGGTGGAGTAATGCTGGGGAATGAAAGCTGACAATGGAAATGTTTTGGGGGAATTTTATTACATTATTATTTTATTACATTTTATTTGTATAGCGCTTTTCTAAATACTCAAAGACGCTTTACACGAGTTTAAAAAATACATAAAATCAACAATGCATTACAACGCATAAAAACACAGTAAAACATTTAAAAAGGGCAAATTTAAACATTAAAAGCAAATTTAAACAGGTGGGTTTTGAGTTCTTTCTTAAAAGTGGAGAGATTGAAGCAGACACAAAGCTGTTGAGGCAGAAGTTTTGAGTGGACTTTGTAACACTGTTTGGACCAATGAGGTGTATGTCAGTTTTGTCAGTATTTAACTTGAGAAAATTGTGCTTCGTCCAGATTTTGATGTCAGTTAAGCAATGGGTGAGGGTGGAGTGGATGTTGGGGTTTATGGATGTAGTAGAAATGTCAGAAAATCTGTATGTAATCAGCATAGCAGTGAAAATGGAGGCCATGATGACGGATGATATTACCAAGGGGGAGGATGTAAAGGATGAAAAGGAGACGACCAAGCTCTGAACCTTGGGGAACACCCTATAGCAAAGAGAATACAGAGGAACAGAAAATAACAACCAAAAAGAAACCCAACAATAAAAATAAAAGATGTAAAAATATGTATGTACATAAAATACGTAAATACAGTGGCACCTCTAGATATTTATTAATGTTGGGGGGGAGACACTGAAAATCCTGGAGTGGCAAACCATACCATAAAGCCAGAATATGACAAAGTTAAGTCAAATCCTCTGGATGTATATAAAAAAATATATATATAAATCATAAAATAAAATAAAAAACATAAAAAGTTACAAATAAAAATTGAATAAATAAATAAAATAAAATAATAATTAAAAATAAAATTAAAATTAAAACATGAAAAAATAAAAGATAATTATTATTATTTTTATCCGTCCTGAGGATTGACTTAACTTTGTTAGATTTTTCTACCTGGATTATTGAGCATGCATCAGGAAATAAAGCCAGAACAAAATTTGAGAAATTTCATTGTGTTATTTGTGTAGAAAACATTGGTGATCTGAGAGATGGAATCACCAGTGATGCATCTGATTTTACAGCTAATTTGAATGATCCTGTGACCAGAACAGAGTATGCAGCGGTCCAGTTTTAATGTATTTTGGATTTTGACAAACACATGGAATAACTCCTTAATCAAAAGCAGTAAAGTGAACACATTTACTAGAAACAATCTCTCTCAAGTTTACAGCCAACACTTCTAATTTTTTTTTCACTTGTTCCTGTTTTTTGTGAACAAAAAAGGGATTTTTATGGATCTCTAAAATTAAGAATAAAAATACACAAAAATATAAATTTATATTAATAAAATATATTGTGAATATAAACTCTGATACCCTGTATCATAATGTTGAAGATGTTTAATTTTAGACCAGTTGTCCTTATTCGGGGGAACTAGAAGTTCTTTTTATTTTATTTATTTATTTTTTAATAAAATATAAATTCATCCATCCATCTATTATCTTTTACCCGCTTCTTTATATTTTTATATTTTCAATTCGTAATTTCTCATAAATAATATTTGTTTTCAGGTTTATGCTCTACTAATGGTAACGCAGTTGGTAGATTTAATTCAATTCAACTTTTATTTCTACAGGTTAGCATCGTTGAGCCTCGAGGAGTCATTTACAAGAGAGACCTGTTTGAAACAAAGAACACAGATGAGCTACAGACAACAATAGACAATCATTATAAAGAGATGTAAAATACTAAAAACAGGAACATGTCTGCGTAGGTTTTTGCCATGAACTTAACAGATGTTTAAAATCCCTTAGAAAGGTCAAAGTTCAGGGTGTTCCAGGTTACAGGAGCAGAGGAGGTCAAGAGCGGTGTAGAGCTGCCACCTCTCAGTGAGAAGGCGCGGGGTTGAATCCCAGCTGGCGGCCTTCCTGGGTGGAGTTTACATGTTCTCTCCGTGCATGCGTAGGTTTTCTCCGGGTACTCCAGTTTCCTCCCACAGACCAAAAACATGCATGTTAGACTGATTGGTAACTCTAAATTGTCTCTAGGTGAGAGTGAGAGAGTGAATGGTTGTCTTATTTGTCTCCATGTGTCCCTGTGATAGATTGGAGACCTGTCCTCCAGGGTGTCCCCGCCTCTTACAGTGACTGCTGGACATGGGCACCAGTGACCCCCGGGACCCAAAAAGGAAGAAGCGGGTAAAGATGATGGATGGATGGATGAAATTAAAAATATACAACAAGCATAGTTTTAAGACAATTATACAAAGTTCACTCATCAGGCTCAGCCATCCTTCTTAGTCGTTTTCTCCTGGATCAGCTGGTTCTGGTGGCGCCCCCCTGTGGGCATAGAGAGGAACATCATTAGCAACATCATTGTTACAGCATGACCCAAAAAGAGCTGTGTGGTTTGTTCCAGGAAAACGGCTGCAAGATGCACGAGCTGTGTTTAGGTGAAATATGAAAGCAAAAAAGGCACAAGGTCTTCCCACCTCTGACAAATACACACACGAAGAAAACAAGATGCAGGGAACCTGGACACACATCAAGAAGAAGAAAAATACATTTAGAAATTCAAACTAAGGCCCTGCATGTTTACACGACCGATGAAAATGAACCTTTCCTGCTGTGGTCTGGCCATTTGTGTACACAGTAACAGTCCTTATTCTCTCTGAAACCAAAGGTTTCTGAACTGAGGTCTCAGGATCTGTTTACATGTGAACAACTTCTGGAAACATCATTGGAGTGTTTTTCAGTGTTTATCGGGACCAATAATGATTAAGAAAAAGGTTTGTCTGTTTGTTCTACTGTAGTAAATATAATGTTTAGGTTTTGTTTGCACATGAACAATCTCTGGAAATGTTTTAAGTGTTTTTTCTATGTTTATTGAGAAGAATAAACAAAAATAACTCGCTTACATGGAAATAATAAGAAATTATGAACTATTGTACTGTTGCTTTAAGATGATTTACTTTTGACCCAAACTGTCATATGTGCTATTAAAGAGTATTGTAAGATGACGTGTGTTTTGTTTGGTGAATAAGTGTACAGAAAGGAGGGTAAAAAAATGTATTCATGGTTATCTGGCAACCCTAATGCCAGCTCAGCTGCATGCAGTGTCAGCATGATCACAGTTACATCCAAACTGGTGATTACATGAATGCTCCTTTGGACCCAGGATGTTGTCAGAGAGTCAGAGTCAGAGATTTTTTTATTGTCATTCGCACCTCATGCGGTACATGTGGTGGACCGAAATTATGTACACAGGGTCCCAGTTACACCCAACAATAAAATGTAAAAGAAAAACAATGATAACATCTAAGATATGAACTAAGAAAAACATCAACTAAATATACACTAAGCACTAATAGCATAAAAACATTACGTCAAACATCAGCACGAACATGAACATGAGTGTGTGTGAGCAGATGAGCACACATGAGCACATCAACATTGAAACAGATCAGCAGCAACAATGAAACAGATCAGCAGCAACATGATGTAATTTTTTCACAGTGATTATTCTGGTTAGAGATTCATGAGTCTAACAGCCTCAGGGTATAAGCTGTTTCTCAGTCTAGTGGTTCTACACTTGATGCTCCTCAACCTCCTTCCTGAGGGGAGCGAGGCAAAAACTGTGTGCTGGGTGAGTGGGGTCCTTCATGATGCAGGTGGCCCTCTTCCTGCATCTGGAGGTGTAGATGTCTGTGATGGTGGGGAGACAGACTCCAACAGACTTCTGTGCAGCCTTCACCACTCTCTGCAAAGCTTTTCTTTCTGCAGCTGTGCAGCGTCCATGCCACACGTTGATGCTGGAGCACAGGATGCTCTCCACTGCACACCTGTGAGGACTGAGGTGAGGACTGAGCTTCCCAGACCAGACCAGGTTGTTTCATCGGTCATGTAAACATGCAGGGCCTTAGTTTGAATTTCTAAATGTATTTTTCTTCTTCTTGTTGTGTGTCCAGTTTCCCTGCATCTTGTTTTCTTCATGTGTGTATTTGTCAGAGGTGTGAAGACATTGTGCCTTTTGTGCTTTCATATTTCACCTAAACACAGCTCGTGCATTTTGCAGCCGTTTTCCTGGAACAAACCACACAGCTCTTTGTATGTTTGCTCCTTCGTGCTGAAAAAGAGTTTGGCTTTGGTTGCAGAGAAAATGGAGTCTGTTATTCAATTCAATTCAATTCAAAAATACTTTATTAATCCCAAAGGGAAATTATTTGTTGTTGTAACTTGTTATCCTCATTTCATTAAGAGATGTTATAGATACTGATGGCTGTAGGCAGGAAGGATCTCTTGTAAAGGTCCATCCCACAGTGGATCCTAAGAAACTGGATGCCGTCCAATCCGTCCACCCAGACTCGGCTGGCCTCTCAGTTCCCCTGGGCTGTAGGACCACCAAAATGCCGGGCAGAACTCCTCCCAGAGCGATGGCCACTCCTCCCAGCAGTCTTCCGAGCTCCTCGTCACTGCAGACAGCCAGCTGTAGGTGACGATCCCATCCTTCCACTGTCATGAGCCGTGTTTCCTGCTAGTTCCAGGATCTCAGTGGTCAGGCACTCGAGCACAGCTGGCAGGTAGATGAGAATGCATCCACAGAACATCCTTTTTAACTCATTTGAGATTTGGGGCTGTTGTTGAGATAGTATTTGAGCTTTTGAGATGCTAATCAGCTGCTGTTGGTTGTAGAAAACTGCCTTGTTGTCATGGTTACGCATCATAACAAATGTCCAAAATTAAAAAAAGTTTCAGTAAAAATCCTTCCAGCTGCACAGCATCTGATACCAGAGGAAACAATCTTCCAAAAAATGTGATTTACATCCAGAAAAAGAGGAATTAAAAGTTTCCAAAAGCAAAATCTCAGAATGAAAGTAACAGAGCTGCTCCAACATGCAGCCACCTTGAGCAGCGCAATTCAAGAACTTATTATGCACTATTAATATTTGTGCATTATTATGCACAAAGGGCCAAACTGCAGCAGAAAAGCTGTGGTTTCACTCAAAAAACACCTCGTGTGAGCAAGGCCCTGTAAAGCTTGGAACTCCACGTGCTCCATTTTTGGACATTTTGGAGGTACAGAGCTGTAAGCAGCTAATTATCTAGAATAGTTCTAGAATTAGTTATTAGTTAGTTATTAGTTAGAATTAGAATTAGTTCTAGAATTGCGCCGCTCAAGGTGGCTGCATGTTGGAGCAGCTCTGTTACTTTCATTTTGAGATTTTGCTTTTGGAAACTTTAATTCCTCTTTTTCTGGATGTAAATCACAATTTTTTTGGATGATTGTTTCCTCTGGTATCAGATGCTGTGCAGCTGGAAGGATTTTTACAGAAACTTTTTTGGTTTTGGACATTTGTAATGATGTGTAACCATGGCAACAAGGCAGTTTTCTACAACCAACAGCAGCTGATTAACATCTCAAAGCTCAAATAATATCTCAACTATAGCCCAAAATCTCAAATGAGTTGAAAAGGATGTTCTGTGGACACATTCTAATCTGCCTACCAGCTGTGCTCGGGTGCCTGGCCACTGGGAACCTGGAGCTGGCGGGAGACACGGCTCATGGCAGTGGAAGGACAAGATCGTCCCTCGGCACCTACAGTTGGCTGTCTGCAGCAACGAGGAGCTCGGCAGGCTGCTGGGAGGAGTGGCCATCGCTCTGGGAGGAGTTCTGCCCGGCATTCGAGCAGTCCTACAGCCCGGAGGAACTGAGAGGCCAGTCGAGTCTGGGTGGACAGATCGGACGGCATCTGCAGCCAGTTTCTTAGGATCCACTGTGGGATGGACCTTTACAAGAGATCCTTCCTGTCTACAGCCATCAGCATCTATAACATCTCTTAATGAAATGAGGATAACGAGTTACAACAACAAATAATTTCCCTCTGGGATTAATAAAGTATTTTGAATTTGAATTGAATTCAATTAAACACCCAGACAGCAGTTGGGTATTAGGTGACTTGCTCAAGGACACTGCGGCAAAAGGGCATGGTGGGGATTAAAACCTGCAATTCCTCAGTCCCAAGTCAACTGTCCTACCACTGCGCCACAACTTCCCTGATGAGAAGCCAGACATCTTCAACTACAGAATGAAAGTCCAGTTTTTGTTTGTTTGTTTGTTTCAGGGAGTAGTGGTGCAGAGGTTAGAGAAGGTGTCTGTGATAGGAAGGTTATTGGTTCGACTCCCCAGAGTGATAACGTAAAAATGTGGGTGGGAAAGGTAGAGCACCCACACCTGCCTCTTCCGTCGTTTGCCCCGCTCTGGGCCCTTGAGCTAGGCCCTTAACCACCTAGAATAAGAAAACTTGACTGCTTCTTCTGCTTCTGTTCAGGTAAAAAGCAAAGTGCTGTCATTTCTCACCTGGAGTGACCTGGGGCACAAGTGTATGCTGGACTATTCACTTACCCTGAGTAAGGTGGTGGTGGGGCGTCGTGTTGCCCACTGTGATTCAAAGCTTCATTGTAGCTGGGTAAAGGTGGAGGTGGAACTACAACTCCAGCCAGGGGCACGGTCTCTGGAGCTGGATTCCCATCTCCTGCCATTCTAACTGGGGCTCTGGACCAACATCAAGTGAAACATGTAGAGAGGTCAGAACTGAGAAATACAGTTTTTTTTTTTGTTTTTTTACAGGATATTCTATGAAACAACGTTTGAACACAGACATCAGAACAGGTCTCCTAAATGATCAATGATAATATTCAAACCTGACAACAACAAAAACTACTAGTGAGCTAAAGGATAAGCTTGATGGATCAAAGGAAACATTTAGCTTATTAGGTTATGAAGTAGGGTGCAATGAGATGTTGAAAACTGTCTCATAAAGCTATATCAAGTTGCTGTCAGCATGATGTGCTCTGTTGGAATTAGCTCTGCAGCTACATATATATACAGTATATATACAGTATATATAGACAAACCGGATTCCAAAAAAGTTGGGACACTAAACAAATTGTGAATAAAAACTGAATGCAATGATGTGGAGGTACCAACATCTAATATTCTATTCAGAAAAGAACACAATTCACATATCAAAAGTTAAAACTGAGAGAATGTATCATTTTTAGGGAAAAATCAGTTGTTTCCAAATTTGATTGCGTCAACAAATCCCAAAAAAGTTGGGACAAGTCCATTTTTACCACTGTGTGGCATCCCCCCCTTCTTCTTACAACAGTCAACAGACGTCTGGGGACAGAGGAGACCAGTTTCTCAAGTTGAGAAATAGGAATGCTCTCCCAATCATGTCTAATACAGGCTTCTTACTGTTCAATTGTCTCGGGCCTTCTTTGTCGCACCTTCCTCTTTATGATGCGCCAAATGTTCTCTATAGGTGAACGATCTGGACTGCAGGCTGGCCGTTTCAGTACCCGGATCCTTCTCCTACGTAGCCACGATGTTGTGATTGCTGCAGAATGTGGTCTGGCATTATCGTGTTGAAAAATGCAGGGTCTTCCCTGCAAGAGATGACGTCTAGATGGGAGCATATGTTGTTCTAGAACCTGAACATAGTTCTCTGCATTAATGGTGCCTTTCCAGACATGCAAGCTGCCCATGCCACAAGCGCTCATGCAACCCCATACCATCAGTGATGCAGGCTTCTGAACGGAGCGTTGATAACAACTTGGGCTATCCTTGTCCTCTCTGGTCCGGATGACATGGTGTCCCAGAGTTCCATAAAGAACTTCAAATTGTGACTCATCTGACCACAGAACAGTCTTCCATTTTGCCACACTTCATTTTAAATGACCCCTGGCCCTGTGCAAACGTCTGAGCTTGTGAAGCTTGCTTAGAAATGGCTGTCCTCTTTGCACTGTAGAGTTTCAGCTGGCAACGGCGGATGGCACGGTGGATTGTGTTCACTGACAATGCTTTCTGGAAGTATTCCTGAGCCCATTCTGTTATTTCCTTGACAGTGGCATTCTTGTTTGAGGTGCAGTGACGTTTAAGGGGCCAGAGATCACGAGCATCCAGTAGAGTTTTACGGCCTTGACCCTTAGGCACAGCGGTTGTTCCGGATTCTCTGAATCTTTTGATGATGTTATGCACTGTTGATGATGATAACTTAAAAGTCTTTGCTATTTTACGCTGGGTAACACCATTCTGGTATTACTGCACTATCTTTCTGCACAACAAAGGTGGAATTGGAGCTCCTCTTACCATCTTGGCTTCTGAAAGACACTGACACTCTGAGGAGCTCTTTTTATACCCAATCATGTTGTCAATTGACCTAATTAGTGTTAATTGGTCTTCCAGCTGTTTGTTATATGGTCAATTTCCTTTAGCCAGCCACTTATTGCTAATTGTCCCAACTTTTTTGGGATTTGTTGACACTGTGAAATTTTGAATCAACATATTTTTCCTTTAAAATGTTACATTTACTCAGATTAAACTTTTGATCTGTCATCTACGTTATATTACGAATAAAATATTGACATTTGCCATCTCCACATCATTGCATTCAGTTTTTATTCACAATTTGTTTAGTGGTCCCAAATTTTTTGGAATCCGGTTTGTACATACATGCATATATATATATATATATATACATACATACATACATATATACATACATACATACATACATACATACATACATACATACATACGTACATATTTATATATACATACATACATACATACGTACATAAATATATACATACATACATACATACAGGGCAGCACGGGTAGCGCAACTGGTAGAGCTGCTGCCTCTCAGCGAGCAGGTCCCTGGTTCAAACCCCGGGCCAGGGGCCTTTCTGGGTGCAGTTTGCATGTTCTCTCCGTGCATGCGTGGGTTTTCTCTGGGTACTCCGGTTTCCTCCCACAGACCAAAAACATGCATGTTAGGCTGACTGGTAACTCTAAATTGTCCCTAGGTGTGAGTGAGAGAGTGAATGGTTGTTTGTCTCGTTTGCCTCTATGTGGCCCTGTGATGGACTTGCGACCCTTCCAGGGTGTACCCCGCCCCTTGCACAGTGATTGCTGGACATGGGCACCGGCGACCCCCGTGACCCAAAATGGAATAATGGAATAAGCGGGTAAAGATAATGGATGGATGGATGGATGGATGTACAGTATATATATATACATACATACATATATATATATATATATACATATATATATATTCATATGTAGTGTGCTAAGGGCTAGGTTAGCTGCCCTTGACTACAATATATTTAAATAAATGGGTTCCCTCTTTTTCAATTTAAATTACTGCCATGTGACCGAGGTAACTATGCGTGGATTGTTTAATCAGTGACATGAGACGTTAATTTCCTTTGACCCATCAGAATAAACGTGGTCATTTATTGAACAGAATCAAAATTTAACATCAAAACATTGTACACTTGATTAGCTGATCTGGTTCTGATTAATAAAAACTTGGCATGTTTTACTTAATAAGACAACAGGACTTGAAGAAGGCATCTAGACTATTGGCAAAATAGGAGTTTAAAGATAGGAAATGAAGGAGTTTAAATGGAGAGAAAAGATGGATGAGGGAAAGTGTGTTGACTAGGAATGGCACTCTTCATTCAACCCCAGCTCAGCCCCGGTACACTCGGTGCGTGGCGACTCGTTACCTTTGCAGACAATAGGTCAGCTCCGGTACAGAGGTCCATTTCAACGCTACCTTTCAGCGTCTCCGGTCAGGATGGCTGAGAATCATCCGAAGTAGTGACGGTACTCCGTTCAACAGAATAAGCTTCCTTAGAAGTTGTAGGGCGTTATGCCCGGGTGAGTTCAAGGCGAGGCGCTGTGACTCCAGCTGGGATGGATGGACCCTCGTCTCACAGTCAAATCCATCAGCTATTGATTAAATCTGAAAGTTCCTTAGGAACTCTCAGGAAGACTTCAGTCAGAGATTCCACTCAGAAGTGGAGGACTCCATGAAAGACTGAAGAAGACCCCAGGAAGACTCCGGTCAAAGACTCTAGAAGACTGAAGACAAACTGAGAAGTTCCAGGAAGTGTGGACTCTTAAAGAGTTCTCACTTCCGGTCACTTCAGGACTTCCTGATTGGTTGAAACAACCAACAGGGGGTGGTTCTAGTGATGTCAGAGGGTCATTACAAGTCAAGAAAAAGCAGGAATGTTTTAGAGACTTTCAGTACAGACAGAAGACATGTTATGGCGAAATGAGAGGAAGCAGGTGCCAATAACATCTTATTTACCGTCTGCTAGGTTTAAAAACAATCCACTTCGTTCTAATAACTCCTTTCTGACTTTCGACTGACATCACTACAGGTCCTTCTCAAAAAAGTAGCATATTGTGATAAAGGTTTTCCATATTGTAATGATAAAAATTAAACTTTCATATATTTCAGTTTCATTGCACACCAACTGAAATATTTCAGGTCTTTAATTGTTTTAATACTGATGATTATGGCATACAGCTCATGAAAACCCAAAATGCCTGTCTCAAAAAACTAGCATATCATGAAAAGGTTCTCTAAACAAGCTATTAACCTAACCATCTGAATCAACGACGTAACTCTAAACACCTGCAAAAGATTCCTGAGGTTTTTAAAAACTCCCAGCCTTGTTCATTACTCCAAACCGCAATCATGAGTAAGACTGCCGACCTGACTGCTGTCCATAAGGCCATCATTGACACCCTCAAGCAAGAGGGTAAGACACAGAAAGAAATTGCTGAACGAATAGGCTGTTCCCAGAGTGCTGTATCAAGGCACCTCAGTGGGAAGTCTGTGGGAAGGGAAAAGTGTGGCAGAAAACGCTGCACAACGAGGAGAGGTGACCGTACCCTGAGGAGGATTGTGGAGAAGGGCCAATTCCAGACCTTGGGGGACCTGCGGAAGCAGTGGACTGAGTCTGGAGTAGAAACATCCAGAGCCACCGTGCACAGGCGTGTGCAAGAAATGGGCTACAGGTGCCACATTCCCCAGGTCAAGCCAATCTTGAACAAGAGACTGCATCAGAAACATCTCGCCTGGGACTGCTGCTGAGTGGTCCAAAGTTATGTTCTCTGATTACAGTAAATTTTACATTTCCTTTGGAAATCAAGGTCCCAGAGTCTGGAAGAAGAGAGGAGACACAGAATTCACATTGCTTGAGGTCCAGTGTCAAGTTTCCACAGTCACTGGGGTGTCATGCCATCTGCTGGTGTTGGTCCACTGTGTTTTATCAAGCGCAGGGTCAATGCAGCTAGCTATCAGGAGATTTTGGAGCACTTCATGCTTCCATCTGCTGAAAAGCTTTATGGAGATGACGATTTCATTTTTCAGTGTAGTGAACTAAGCCTCAGGTCAAATCTGGCCCTGAGGGCCTTCCTGGGACAAGAACTGTCACTTCATTGATTTGAGTCCAGAAACACAAAATTAAGTTCATCCAGAGACTTTCTAAGTGTGTCCTGCACTGATCAATTGAAAGAACACTCTCTTTTTTATTATCATTACTATTTTGCAAATGTCTTGATAATCAAGTGTGTTTAGTTCAAACCATTTTAAATGTTGAAGTGAACTACTCATTTTAAATCAACTGTGAAACAGTATAAATGATTTTTAATCCTCATTCAAAGTAGAAATCTAGTTAATGTCT